TGTCAACCAAAAATGGGGAAGGGAGAGCTTTGCATATCCTAACATCCCCCAAATTACGTAAATGTGTAAAACAAACAAAATCCTTTTGGGTGGAAAAATTGCATTGCCACCCCACACCCACCACCCCTTCAACACTGCCACCCACTTTACAGTGTAGTTTAGACTCCGAATGATGGCCGTGTGGTTGCCTTGCTTTTGGCTAAAGGCAGGAAGAGCTTTTTGCTCAAAAATTCATAATCGAATTATGATGCGGTGGTTGAGTACTTTTTAAGCTAGACACACTAAGTGCTCCTTTCATCGATAATGGTTTGAAGGCATTACACTGAGCGATCAATAGAGCGGGTGTGGGGGAAAGAAACAAGGATGCATTGGCCATAACTGGGTGGTTTCCATTGCCATGCCACTTTGTGGGTGGTTTTGTGTGTGCGCGCCCGCTTTTATACAACTGTACTTTAGACTTCTGTTTGTTTTTTTGGTAGCAAGGAAAACAATGTCGAACAGAGTGTTTTTCAATTAAAATTAATTAAAAGTTTTTCATGTCATGCCTGCCACTGGCAGTAGAAGCAAAGCAACAGCAGCTACAACCAAAGCAGTCAGATCAAGCTAAACCGCATCACAGAGAGTAGCATGCCACAATATAGAGAGTTCACTTGGTCCGGCATTCGTTGCTTTTGTTTTCGTTGGCATGAAATAAAATAGTTTTAGATGGAAATACTAATAACAACAAAATGCCGACCAACTTAATTAAAATTTTCACAAAAATATGATATTCTCATTCTGGACATTATGAATGGATTTACATGGCAGGGTATGGCATGATCTATGTATCCATCCGTCCACCAGTAGCGGGCGAGCGTCAGCTATTGTCACAATGTTGGCTAGAATGTGTGCTAATGCCGCTGAATGGCCTCCATTCATAATAGATCAACTGCCATGGCACTAAAAAACTGAATATTTTTGCAACTTGTTGTTGTTATTCATTGGAATTGGCATTTTGTTGTTGTTGCTGTTGTTGTCGTCGTCGTGTTGTTAGCCTCTATATTGAACCTACATCAGTGCTCAGTGTGTTATCTGAGCATTATTGGTTTTAATTGGATCTTTGGCTTACAATAATTCTGTTTTTGTAGTAGTCCGCCACGGAGTAATTTTCAACTATCGCTACCGGTTTAGAGGCGGAAATGTAATTTGTATAAATAATAATAATTTTTATTCTATGTAAAATTGAAAACTAATCTTGTTTTGTAGTTAATATTCCAATTGGCATAGATTACCACGGCATTTGATCTTGTGTGGAGAGGGAGTGAGGGAGGGAGATTTGGTTTACCTAGAAACTATTTTTCAGCTACAGATTATTATACCCTCAGCCATATGGCTAGAGGGGGTATATATCATTTGATACGACCAAAACGTGCATTATCGGAATCGCGGTTTTAGGTCAGAGGTCTCTTTGGACCGAATCCTTTTCAGGACATTTGAAGTCGATCTAAGGGTGTCCGTCTGTCTGCACAGAGGGTATATATCATTTAATACGGCGAAAACATGGCTCATAGAATTAACGGTTTTAGAACTTAAGTCTCTTTGGACCAAATCCGTTTCAAGGCGATTGGAGTCGATCAAAGGTTGTCCGTTGGTCTGTCAGGCTGCCTGGTGCACACGATAACTCTCGAAGGGAGTATCTAACTTGGTCCTAACTTGGTACATCATAATATTTTTAGCAAACTTAGATCGAGTTTGGTGATGGGCAATATCCGTATACTCCATTTGGTACCTCCCTCACCCACAAAATATCTAAATTATCAAAGAAAATATTTTACTTCATCGAAAGAGAAAGGATCATCCTCTTTTGCTCAAACATTGCAAATCCCGATATTTTTGTCAATGCCAAGCCAGGTGCCAAAATGGGCAATATCGGCCAACTCTCTCAAGTACCTCACCCACAAAGGGTCAAAATTTTGAATAATTATAACTCTTATAAAATATGGAATGTTGTCAGATTTTCTTCAAATTCGGTACCTCTCGATATTTCTATCAACACCAGATCTGGTATGAAGTACAGATAGAAAGGACTACTTTACCTCCCCCATAAATGGGTCATCATTTTGAATGAGCAAATCGCATTTGAATGAAAAAATCATCCGATTACATCTCAATATTTCTATCAGGTGTGAAGATGGTATATATTGGTTCAATCCTTCTGGAACCTCACCCAAAGGGGTCAAATTTTTGAATAATCGCTGATAAAATGCAAATCGCTGATAAAATGGGAAATAAAAACATTTCTATTTCTATCAAAACAAGATCAGCTGTGAAGATGGAATATATCAGCCCACTCCTTCTGGTACCTCCCCCACAACATTTTGAAAAATTATATCTCTCATAAATAGGTATTCGAAATAGGTATTCGTGTCCTTTCGAATTTCACACATCCCAATATTTTTATCAACACAAGATCAGCTATGAAGATGGAAGACATCGGTCCAATCCTTCTGATACCTCCCCCACAAAGGGGTCAAAATTTTGAAAAATTGTAACTCTCATAAAATGCGAAATAAGCTTCCGATTGTATTCATATTTCACACATCCCAATATTTTTAACAACACAACATGTGGTACGAAAATAAAATATATCTGCCCTCTTTCTGGCACCTCCCCCACAAAAGGGGTCACAAATTTGAATTATCATATCCTTCATAAAATTCGAAATAAGCTTCCTATTGTCTTCCAATTTCACACATCCAATTATTAATACTGGCACAAAATCAGTTGTGAAAATTAATATATTGGCCCACTCCTTCCTGTAGCTCTCCCACGACGTGGTCAAAATTTTGAATAATTATAACTCTCATAAAATGCGAAATAAGCATCTGATTCTCTTCAAATTTCACACATCCCAATATTTCTATCAAGCGCTGGTATGAAAATTAAATATATCGAACCACTTCTTCTGGTACCTCCCACACGAAGGAGTCAAAATTTTGAATAACCAAACGGTCATGAAATGGGAAGTAAGCTTTCGATCAATTTCAACCTCGCCACTTTCCAATATTTATATTTCTAAAATATATCGGCCCACTCCTTCTGGTACCTCCCTCCACAAAGCGGTGACAATTTTGAATAACCAAATAACCCATAAATCGCAAAATAACATCCTATTACAATCATATTCGGCACATCTCAATATATTTACTAGCACAAGATCAGCTGTATAGATGGGATATATCTGACCACTGCTTCTGGTACCTCACCAACAAGTGAATCACAATTTTGGAAATTATAGCTCTCAAAAACTTCGAAATAAGCATCCTCTTCTATTCGAATTTCATACATCCCAACAAAAGATCTGGGTATGAAGATGGATAATATCGGACCACTCTTTCCACACATAGGTAAAATAGGTAAAAATTTTAAAAACTTATATCTTTCACAACGTGCGTAATAAATTAGCTATTCCATTCAAACTCTCAACCAGAGATCTGATGTGAATATGGAATTTATCCGTCCAATCCTCCACAAAGAATTTTTACATTTTGATTCGCATAAAATTGGAAATAAATTTTCGATATTTTTTCAATTTTTCACATCCCGGTAGTTTTGTAAATGTGTGCTATAATTGTACGTTTTGTAAATGCGTTCTATTTTTGTACAAAGAGTACTAAATTGTACTAAATTTGGTATATGGTGAAGGCATAGAAATGAAATCCTGAAATTGGATATAAATGTCACTGCTAGTATATAAGGTTAAGATACGAAGGTGGTTCTGGGAATTTGAACTTCTATTGTACGAAATGTACTAATTGGCACTAAATTTGATATATTTGATATTGGATGAAGGGATAGGGCTGGAATTCTCAGATTTGATATTTGAAGTTTCTGTTGGTATCTGGAATTGAGATATGGACGTGGTTTTGGAAATGTGCACTATAATTGTACGAAAGTACTTAATACTAATTATCAGTAATTAGATGGAGTTGAACATTTCGGTCCATTTTCCAAAAATTATCACATATTTCATATAAAGAGAAGGAAGTAGTCGATATAATCCAAATCTGGCGCAATGAAATGTTTATATCAGACTTAGGTCAGATACGAAAGAGAACAAATTGGCCCTCTCCTTTGGAACGTCCCTCTTAAAAGGTTAACAATCATGACGCAAGTCGGCAAACCCAACTGATAACTTTTACCTTTTTTTTTGTGAAATATATATTATAGATGAAAACAACATTGATTGCGTTTAAGAGTCATTCAGAAAGAGTTCCAGACCTTTTAGGGCTCTGATACGTAGACTTTTAGACTTTCTGTAAACAGACTTCGAGCCTTTCTATACGAAAACCTTCAAGGCCTTTCTGCGAAGACCCTTAGGTTTTCTATTAGACTACCAGTCATATCTTCTATGTGAAGGTCTTTAAGGTCTCCACACGAAGCCTCTTTAAGCCCTCCATATGAACCCCTTTTAGACCTTCTATAGAAACGAGGTGGTGATAAATTTTACCCTCCCTTCTTCAAATTCTCTTTTCTATTGCGATGAATAAAAGGGTTGTTTAAATTAAAAAAAATAATTTTTTACTAATTGTAATTTAAAATGTAAAAGCTTGTGCTTATAAAACAAATAATTATCAATAAATATTTTTAATATTTTTTTTTGTAAAATTTAGAGGACTTAAGTTTACCACCACGTTATAACCTCGGTTAAAAGTTAAGGCCTTCTAAACCAATTATCTTAGAGTCTTCTTGTCAAGAACTTCTGGGGCTTACGGGTTAAGGACTTCTAAGGCCTTCTAGTCTAAGATCTACCGCGCCTTCTTGTCGAAGACTTTCAAAGCATTCTATACCATGTACTTTTAGAAATCCAATATGAGAATATAAACATGCCTTTTCAACTACCTTTTACCACATTTATCACAAAATCATAAAAGTTTCATTTTGATGACAATATCATTTATAGTTTCTAAGCTTTTTTCCAAACCTATACTAATATGACACCCTTTTCTCATTTATTGCAGGTAAATGTTCATTACAATAGAGTTGGTGAGTTTATTGAAAACAAACAACTAATTAAATGACGTGAGTATGGATGACAATCCATCCCACTTCCCCTCTGGAGAAAACTGTAGTAAAAATCAATCTTTATTTTCCCCTTTTTGGGTATTCCATCCCATTACCGTGTTAGAAACTCCACATTCAATACCACTAATAATGTTATCTTTTGATTACGAAACTCTCACGGAATACATTCTTTCCGCCCCAAACCTAATGTTGATGATTCATCCGGTGATTATAAAATGTCGAAAAAAACCAAAAAAAAAAAAAAAAAAGAAATGATGAAAACCTTTCTCGTGATCATCATTAACCAAAAAAAAAAAAACGAACAAGAACGAAAATCGTATAATTTAACATTCTCGTGTACGTGTTTATTATATCGTCGGGGCTTTCAACTTTGTTGTAACATCATGACTTTTTTGTTGTTGCAAAATGAAAAAAAAAACAAAACAATACTAAATTAAAAAAAAGAAAGAAAATTGAGTTGAAAACAAAAAACAATACTCATCACAACAAACAATTAAAAGAAAATTATAAAAATGGAAAAAAACATTTTTTTCTTTTTACAAACACCACGTAATCAATCTTCGTATTTGTAACACCACGTCTCGCGTTGCAAGAGAGGAAAGCGACGCTTGACGTTGTAACAGAATCTTGCCCGTCATAAAACAAAAACACAGAAACTTTGATTCAATTTGTATTTAATGCAGTTTCAATTTATGCAGCTCTCCATTACCACCCAGAGAAAGAAAGGAGAGTGGGAAAGAGGGCGATAAAATTTAAAACAACATTAAAACTTTTGTAAACCTTGTTGTTTTGGAATAACAACTCAACACTTTGTGGAGAAAATTTCCCACACTTGTCAAGTAAAGTTATTCGCCGGTTCGTCTGGTGATGATAATGGCGTAGTTTTGTCAGTGGAATGCAGGGACAAAATGGGTTGTTTATTTTGAGGTTATATTTGTCTCAATACATAAGAGGGGTTTTATAAGAAGGCCTTCAGGTCTTCTATGAGAAGATCTAAATTTCTTCTATAAGAAGACCTGAAGGCCTATTGGCCTTCCATAAGAAAACCCATTGGTTTTCTATAAGAGGGCCTTGAACACTTCTATAAGACCAATTAGTCTTCTTGGTCTTCTGCAAGAAGACACATTTGTATCCTACATTAAGACCAATTGGTCTTTAATAAGAGGATCAATCGTCCTTTTATAAGAAGAACTATTGGTCTCCTTTAAAAGGACCTATTCGTCTTCTATGAGAAGACCTATTGGTCTTCTATGAGGATACCTAACGGTCTTCTATGAGAATACCTAACAGTATTCCATGAGAATACCTAACGGTCTTCATTGAGAAGATCTGATGGTCTTCTATGAGGTGCCTTCTCTTAGAGGTCTTTTCTAAGAAGGCCTGCGAGTACTGTTGGTCTTCTTTAAGAAGTCCTGTTGGTCTTCTTTAAGAAGACATGCTAGTCTTCCATAAGAAGACATGTTGGTCTTCTATAAGAAGTTTCCCATAAAAAAGAAGACCTGTTGGTCTGCTATAAAAAGGCCTGGTGGTCTTCCTGGTGGTCTTCTATAAGAAGACCTGTTGGTCTTCTATAAGAAGAACTGTTGGCGTTTCCATAAGAAGACCTGTTGATCTTTCATAAGGTTTCTTATAAGAAGACCTGTTAGTTTCCTATTAGAAGAAGAAGACCCGTTGGTCTTTCATAAGAAGAAGACCCGTTGGTCTTTCATAAGAAGAAGACCTGTAGGTCTGCTATAAGAAGACCTAGTGGTCTTCTATAAGAAGACCTGTTGGTCTTCTATAAGAAGACCTGTTGGTCTTCTATAAGAAGACATGTTGGTCTTCTATAAGAAGACCTGGTTGTCTTCTATGAGAAGACCTGGTTGTCTTCTATGAGAAGACCTGGTTGTCTTCTATAAGAAGACCTGGTTGTCTTCTATAAGAAGACCTGGTTGTCTTCTATAAGAAGACCTGGTTGTCTTCTATAAGAAGACCTGGCGGTCTTCTATAAGAAGACCTGGTGGTCTTCCATATGAAGATCTGGTGGTCTTCTATAAGAAGACCTGGTGGTCTTCCATATGAAGACCTGGTGGTCTTCTATATGAAGACCTGTTGGTATTCTATAAAAAGACCTCTTGGTATTTCATAAGGCTTCCTATAAGAAGACCTGTTGGTCTTCTATAAGAAGAACTGTTGGCGTTTCTATAAGAAGACCTGTTGATCTTCTACAAGAAGACCTCTTGGTGTTCCATAAGGTTTCTTATAAGAAGACCTGTTGGTCTTCTATAAGAAGAAGAAGACCTCTTGGTCTGCTATAAGAAGTCCTGGTCTTCTTATAGACGACCAATAGGTCTTCTTATAGAAGACCAATAGGTCTTCTTATAGAAGACCAACAGGTCTTCTTATAGAAGACCAACAGGTCTTCTTATAGAAGACCAACAGGTCTTCTTATAGGAAGCCTTATGAAATACCAAGAGGTCTTCTTATAGAAGACCAACATATAGAAGACCTGTTGCTCTTCTATAAGAAGACCTCTTGGTATTTCATAAGGCTTCCTATAAGAAGACCTGTTGGTCTTCTATAAGAAGACCTGGTGATCTACTATAAGAAGACCTGGTAGTCTTCTATAAGAAGACCTAGTGGTCTTCTATAAGAAGACCTGTTGGTCTTCTATAAGAAGAACTGTTGGCGTTTCCATAAGAAGACCTGTTAGTTTCCTATTAGAAGAAGAAGACCCGTTGGTCTTCTATAAGAAGACCTGTTGGTCTTCTATAAGAAGACCCGTTGGTCTTTCATAAGAAGAAGACCTGTAGGTCCGCTATAAGAAGACTTAGTGGTCTTCTATAAGAAGACCTGTTGGTTTCCTATATGAAGACCTGTTGGTCTTCTATAAGAAGACCTGTTGGTCTTCTATAAGAAGACATGTTGGTCTTCTATAAGAAGACCTGGTTGTCTTCTATGAGAAGACCTGGTTGTCTTCTATAAGAAGACCTGGTTGTCTTCTATAAGAAGACCTGGTTGTCTTCTATAAGAAGACCTGGTTGTCTTCTATAAGAAGACCTGGTTGTCTTCTATAAGAAGACCTGGTTGTCTTCTATAAGAAGACCTGGTTGTCTTCTATAAGAAGACCTGGTGGTCTTCTATAAGAAGACCTGGTGGTCTTCCATATGAAGACCTGGTGCCCTTCTATATGAAGACCTGTTGGTATTCTATAAAAAGACCCCTTGGTATTTCATAAGGCTTCCTATAAGAAGACCTGTTGGTCTTCTATAAGAAGAACTGTTGGCGTTTCTATAAGAAGACCTGTTGATCTTCTACAAGAAGACCTCTTGGTGTTCCATAAGGTTTCTTATAAGAAGACCTGTTGGTCTTCTATAAGAAGAAGAAGACCTCTTGGTCTGCTATAAGAAGTCCTGGTCTTCTTATAGACGACCAATAGGTCTTCTTATAGAAGACCAATAGGTCTTCTTATAGAAGACCAACAGGTCTTCTTATAGAAGACCAACAGGTCTTCTTATAGAAGACCAACAGGTCTTCTTATAGGAAGCCTTATGAAATACCAAGAGGTCTTCTTATAGAAGACCAACATATAGAAGACCTGTTGCTCTTCTATAAGAAGACCTCTTGGTATTTCATAAGGCTTCCTATAAGAAGACCTGTTGGTCTTCTATAAGAAGACCTGGTGATCTACTATAAGAAGACCTGGTAGTCTTCTATAAGAAGACCTAGTGGTCTTCTATAAGAAGACCTGTTGGTCTTCTATAAGAAGAACTGTTGGCGTTTCCATAAGAAGACCTGTTAGTTTCCTATTAGAAGAAGAAGACCCGTTGGTCTTCTATAAGAAGACCTGTTGGTCTTCTATAAGAAGACCCGTTGGTCTTTCATAAGAAGAAGACCTGTAGGTCCGCTATAAGAAGACTTAGTGGTCTTCTATAAGAAGACCTGTTGGTTTCCTATATGAAGACCTGTTGGTCTTCTATAAGAAGACCTGTTGGTCTTCTATAAGAAGACATGTTGGTCTTCTATAAGAAGACCTGGTTGTCTTCTATGAGAAGACCTGGTTGTCTTCTATAAGAAGACCTGGTTGTCTTCTATAAGAAGACCTGGTTGTCTTCTATAAGAAGACCTGGTTGTCTTCTATAAGAAGACCTGGTTGTCTTCTATAAGAAGACCTGGTTGTCTTCTATAAGAAGACCTGGTTGTCTTCTATAAGAAGACCTGGTGGTCTTCTATAAGAAGACCTGGTGGTCTTCCATATGAAGACCTGGTGCCCTTCTATATGAAGACCTGTTGGTATTCTATAAAAAGACCCCTTGGTATTTCATAAGGCTTCCTATAAGAAGACCTGTTGGTCTTCTATAAGAAGAACTGTTGGCGTTTCTATAAGAAGACCTGTTGATCTTCTACAAGAAGACCTCTTGGTGTTCCATAAGGTTTCTTATAAGAAGACCTGTTGGTCTTCTATAAGAAGAAGAAGACCTCTTGGTCTGCTATAAGAAGTCCTGGTCTTCTTATAGAAGACCAATAGGTCTTATAGCAGACTACCAGGTCTTCTTATAGTAGATCACCAGGTTTTCTTATAGAAGACCAACAGGTCTTCTTATAGGAAGCCTTATGAAATACCAAGAGGTCTTCTTATAGAAGACCAACAGTTCTTCTATATGTTGGTCTTCTATAAGAAGACCTCTTGGTATTTCATAAGGCTTCCTATAAGAAGACCTGTTGGTCTTCTATAAGAAAACCTGGTGATCTACTATAAGAAGACCTGGTAGTCTGCTATAAGAAGACCTAGGGGTCTTCTATAAGAAGACCTGTTGGTCTTCTATAAGAAGAACTGTTGGCGTTTCATAAGATTTCTTATAAGAAGACATGTTGGTGTTTCATAAGGTTTGTTATAAGAAGACATGTTGGTCTTCTATAAGAAGAATAAGACCTCTTGGGCTGCTATAAGAAGTCCTGGTGGTCCTCTATAAGAAGACCTGGTGGTCTTCTATAAGAAGACCAGGTGGTCTTCTATAAGATGACCTGTTGCTCTTCTGTAAGAAGACGTTTTAGTCTTCTGTAAGAAGGCCTGTTGATCTTCTATAAGAAGACATAACCTTTTGGTCTTCTATAAAAAGACTTTTAGGTCTTTTTTAAGAAGAGTTATGAATCTTCTCTAAGTAGACCAATTAGTCTTCTCTAAGAAGACGACCTTAAGGTTTTACTATAGGTCTTATAAATGACCTTCAGGTCGTTTTATAGAAGACTAATCCTCTATAATACTGCCTTAAGGTTCTTTTTAAGACATTCTAATTTTCTTCTATGAGACGATTTTAAGTCTTCTATGAGACGACCTTAGGACTTCTATGAGACGAAGATCTATAGGTACTCTTTCGGATGACTTCTTGGTCTCCCATAGAAAGAATTTATGTCTTCTATAGGAAGAATCTAGGTCTTCCATTGGAAAATGGAAGAAGAACTTCTGTAGAAAGTCCTTAGGTATTCTCTAGGAGGACCCTAGTCTGGTATGTGAAGAACTTTAGGCTTCTAGACGAAGCCCTTAGTTTCAGTCCTTCTAAACGAAGACTTTGCCGGGGCTTTAAATGAGCATTTATTTCTAAAACTGTTGTAACATTTGTGTAATCACGTCAGCCGCTTGGGCTGCATTACACCAAGGCTTTGTAATA